GGAACTATGTGCGTTCAGTCTAGAGAAGACACTTAACTGACAAGCATGAAAGGGAGCGGGAGCCGCCCTTGGATTTGCTTATTATGCAGGGATTAGATGTTGCACAACAGCTCTAAGAGCAGTGTCTCCACTGTGGTGCCACCAAGGGCAGCTCCTCCCGCCCATTCCTGCAGCTTCAAGAGCCCTCCACTCGGCAGAAGCACATAAAGGGCTATCCTGCCTGCCTCTCCCCTACCCCCCTCTACCAACTTCCTTCCTTCCAATTTGTTTCTTTCCTCCCTCCCTCGTTGGTAGCACTCACTCTGCCTGATGCACTGTGCTCTTTACACTCCTGGGTCTGACCCGTTAGATCAGCCTCTGTTTACAAGGAGCCTCCCTTGGTCTGTGTTTGAGAAAAAAAAATCTTATTTCTTCCGATAAATGTCTCCAAATATTTCTGTTGATGCTCCTTTTCCCCCTTGCTCATCAACTCCCTTAAAAACATTTTCAGCCACTTGTACTTATTAGGATAGTCTGATTCCAGGGTTTAAGATACAGGACTAAAAAAAAACAAATTTCTTCACACAGGGAACTATATTCAATATCTTGTAATAACCTTTAATGAAAAAACATGAAATCGAATATATGTATGTATATGCATGACTGGGACGTTGTGCTGTACACCAGAAATTGACATTGTAACTGACTGTACTTCAATTTTTTAAAAAAGTCCAAAAAAAAAGAATACAGTACAATTAGTTTTAAAACATCAATGTTGCTGTATTCAAATATTGTTCCTTTTCTCTCCTTAGCTCAGGCTAGGCTCACTGTATGTGAACATGTGTGGTGGGGACAGGGGGCAGGTCTCAGGGACAGGAGGCTGACTCGCCCCAGCAGGCCTCCCCTCTCCTCTCCTCCCTGCTGTCTCCTCCAGCGTCAGAGCTGTCAGAGCACGAAGCAATGGGTCTCCTTACTTGACCGAGCAAGGTTATGGTTCTCTCTGCTGACACTGCTCTTTCTCTGACCTAGAATGACTGGTTCTGTTGCTGTTTGTGTATCAGGGGGTCAAACACGGATGTGGAAAACACATGGGGTTCTTTGCATGGCCAACCTTCCCATTGCAAGTTTTCAGGCTTTGGGAGGAGGGCTCTGGCTGGAACACTCGCCCACTTTTAGCTCCCACCACTGGTCATCAGCCCCACAGCCTCTTGCTCCAGAGAACTCATTTTCCAGAAGAGGGCCTAGCCCCATCCCACTCAACTCCACGTCACCCCACATGGTGGGAGCACCGCTGAGTCTGTGCAACGCTCTTCCAGCCTCTCTTTGCTGACCTTACTCCCAGCAACACTAGCGCTCAAGTGGGTCCAACGGATCTCAGATTTCAAAGGAGAGATCCTTACTTTCTGACGCCGTGAGGGCTGAGGAGAGCAGAAGAGTTCAGGCACTTCCTTCCCCTACCACCCTTCACACCCTAACTCCACCACACTCACTCCTACCCCCCAGAACTATCCTGGCAATTATCTTGGGATCTCCCTTCCTTGTCTTGGGAGGTGATAATGTATAGAAGCGGAAAGAACTTCTCTGCACGAGCACAGCACCTTTTTAAAGGCAGCATTTTATCACCCCTACCCCACCCTCCACTAACGTGGGGGCCTTAGCTGGGGAGGGGAAGCAGGGAAGGTGGTTGGTTATAGGTGGCTCTGCCCTGGCACCCCTCACTACACCCTGCGGGGAGGTAGCTGGTCCTCCTGCTGCAGTCACTCTAAATGTGGAATGTGAGGGACTCGGTGCCTTGAATCCCCAACAATACAACAGAGAAAACCCCATTTCACATCCTGCTCCATGTGGACTGACGCGGACAAGTCACTGAGGCAGCCCCCTCCTGCCCTTCGGTCCACTTGAGAGAGTCCTGGACTCTTGCTCCTGCCTCGTTGGATGCTCAGCCCTCCTAACTAATATTTGGTACTGGTCAGGCAACTCCCTGGCCCTCATCAGCCTCGGAATAGTACCTGGTACATAGTACAGTTCTCCTGGTGATCACAAGGACCAAAACTTCTCATTAAGTCAGACGCTCTGATTACATTAAAATATACAACAAACTGAGTGAGAGGCCAAGACCAAGGAACAGAATGTCTACTGACAGCTCAGCTGCTCCTTTCAGTTACCCAAGGACCCCTGCATGTATCCCAGCTCATCTCCCCGGCAACAGCCTCCTCCGTGTACCCATTTTACATGACCAACCAGAATACCCTGAAATTACTCCCCATCCTTCCCCAGCCCTGAGGGAAAGAACATATTGGATTCCTGTGGTTTATGGTCACTTCCATGCTTATCTAGAAGACCTATGCTTTTCCCCAGGTGATGGATCCCTTTTGATTTCAATGACTGTGTCAACTTATCTAAGTGTCACCACTTAGTGTCACCACAAGGCAGAAGTCCACCGGCAAAGTTTTAGCAGCATCACTCTAGGCTGCAACCAGAATTAAATACCTAGAACTATTGTTATCACAGAAAACACATAACCAATCTGTAATCTCTAACGGGATCACCAAGGAAATGGGGTAAGAGAACCATTCCCTCAAACACACGCTCCAGAGGGTCAGTTTATGATGTCTTTCCCTGCAAAGTTCACAGCACCATTGTCCTTAGCGGTTTTATCACCAAGATTCCACCTGTTTCAAAATGTGGACAGATGAAGGAAAACAGATGAAGAGATCTCTCTGTAAGAAGTGATTTTACAATGGTGAGATTATGGAGCTGTTCTAAATGAGCTTCTAAGTGGATATGACTTCATAATTTTTTTCAACTCTCTGAATTATCAGACAAGAAGTTTACTTTCCCGTGACCACAGATATACGAATAGACGTGAAAGTAAACATAAAAACGTGTCTCTCTTTTCTCTAAGATTTATGAATGAATAAGGGAGAAATAGCGATGCCAGCGTTGTTGGTTCCACTGTCCAAACACCACCAATACAACTCACCCCATTCCTCAACTGTATTCTCATATATAAACACGCTGAAGGTTTGTAACTTTGGTTTCTTAATTTACCTGTCTTGATAACAATGATGTATTGTAGAGAGATAATCTCTAATTTGGTTTCCTGGTGGCATAAAAGAATTAATCTGTCATTCCCTGATCAAGTGTATCAATAATTTCTTGGAAGTAAGTTGCCCTTCACAAGGATACTTAGTGTCACAGGGAACTATATTCATTACCTTTTCGTAGCTTATTGTGAAAAAGAATATGAAACGAATATGTGTATGTTCATGTATGACTGAAGCATTGTGCTATATACCAGAAACTGACACACTGTAAACTGACTCTACTTCAGTAAAAATATATTAAAAACAAACAAACAAAAACCAAGGATACTTAAAGAGAAAACAACAATCTTATTTCCTAGAAGTTTAAAGAACAACTTTAAAGAACAAATCACTTTGCCTTCCTGAATCTTAGTGTCATCATTTATATAATGAGGATAATGATGATGATGATGATAATGATGTATTACAACCTAAAAAGACTAGTATGTTAATTGCTAGCGAAGACTTTATAAACTATAAAATCTGATATAGACATTAGTCACCTACAAAATCCTGGTATAAGGCTCTGTCCTTCAGCATGTCAACCCATATTATAATTGAGAATGATTGTCAACTAGGTGTGTATTTCCAAATATATAACTATATATGCAGAACGTCATACATTGGTCAGGATCACTTCTAAACACAGCCCTCAAAGTAGTGCTGTATCTGAAAGTGCTTGGCACGTTTTCGGGAAGTTAACAATCCTCCAGCTTCAAAGGGTGCTACAGTTCTCGTGCTGCTTAGCCATTGCTTAACTGGAAGCTAAAAGAATTCAATCTTAAGCTGCAAGAGCCATCTCAGGAATTAACCCATGTGCTCCAGGCACACAAGTCTGTGCCTTTTCCAGAGAAGCAGGAAGTAAAAATAACAGCAAACGCTGTTCCGTGGAGCCCTGAGAACTGCTGGGCACAACGCTAAAGGCTCCCCAATACTGCCTGCTGAGCTCCCAGGACAACCCTAGCACTTAAGTATTGTTTTCCCTATTTTTGAGATGAGGAAATTCTAATTTTCTAATAAGAAAAGAACTCACGATTGCTACCCCTTGGTCCTACCCGATAGGTGGGGGTTGTGCCTTCCAGCCACAGTCAAGGGCAACGCTGACATTAGTCTATCAGGCGGGAAGATAGTGCCTTTCCTTGGGGTTTTGGCTTTTTTCACACGTAAGATTAGAATACAAAGAAGATAAAACGTGAAGCAGGGCATTTTTTTCTGTTCTAGACCAAGTTTTCGGGTTTGATCAGGAGGTGTTTCACAGAGAAGGTGAGACGACCTTCCAGGTTTAGCTGGCTTTGCCTTCCTTCACACCGAGATGTACCTAACGGCATCTCTCTCATGAATATGTAAACAGCACATACTCTCCTCAACATTTGTCCACGTGCAAGAGCAGCTAACACTGCAGTCCCCAGGAACCTTTGGAAAATCTGTCTAATATTAGAGTGAAGAATTTTTTTTTCCATCTGCAACACCCCAATCATACCAGCTGTGATTTTGGTTGTTTGTTTGTTTGTTTACAGTTGAACCCAGTAAGTGGAAAGAATTCCAAGGAGTGAGCGACAGTTGAGGCAAATCTTTACCATCTGGGTGATTTCACTGCACAGGAGAGCAGGTGAACCTGACTTCTGCAGCTAAATCCTGCACCAGCTGATTCGCAGTTTAGTGCAGACTCATTCATTCCAGGCTGTCACAGAGGAGCACATGGAAGCCTCATCACATCCCCGTGCCCAACAAGGTAGAATGTATGCTAATGAGCAAACGTCATAGACAATGAAGCCACAGGATCATGGGAGATTTAGAATGAATGCTTAGATGAGGTTTGTGTATTCCATCACTCAGCCAGGAGTCCCATTTGTCTCGACATAACAGATAACACATTGATCTACTGCTGGGTGACAAATTGTCACAAACTAGCAATACAAAATAGCATTCACTTACTATCTTGCGGTTCTGTAGGCTGAAAGTCTGAGTTCGCTGCTTAGGGTCCCACAAGGCCAAAGTCAAAGCGTCAGCTGGGCTGAGCTCTTAACTAGGTGCTTTTGGTGGGGGGAATATGCTCCCAAGTGCATTCAAGACTGTTGGCAGAACACAGCTCCTTGTTACCTGGGGCTGAGGCCTCCATCTCCTTATTGCCCAAGGCGGCTCTCAGTTTCTAGAGTCCACCTGTATTCCTCATTACATGACCCCTCCATCTTCGAGGTAAGGATAGTACATGAAATCCTGCTCCTGTCTTGAAACTCTCTTCCTTTCCTGCCATTAGCAAGAGAAAGCTCTCTGCTTTTAAGGGTTCATGTGAATAGATTAGACCTACCTGGATAATCTCCCTTTCAAAACGTTAAACCCACTACTTTCACTGCTTCCAGGCACTGGGGGGCATGGAAGCTCAGTGGACCAGTTTTAGACTTCTGTCTACCACACTTAGTAAGTAGAATTAATAAAAATATCGTTAGGCTTGTCATATCCTCAAAAGATAAAGATTTTGTAAGTGCAGGAAGAGGCAGTTAGAAATAATTTTGAGAATCATGCCTCAATTCCTGGATGTGAACGTTTCAAAGTTTAAATGGATATTGTTAACACTCCAAAGAAGTATCTTAAAGAAGCCAACCAGTGTCCTTTGAAGAAAGTGGCAACAATTCTTTAGCAACCAGTTTTCCTTAATACATAATTTTAGAAAACATGCTAAAATATCCAACCTTGCTCTACAAAAAATAAGAGGTCATACTTGTCCTGCTGACCCCAGACTTTTAACTCGGCAACCCCTTGATATCCTCTCTTTCATTCATAGAGAATGTCTTGAAATCAGCCTTGATCCATCTTGCATTCCAGCTCCTGACCTGTTCCCTAGTTGCCGAGCCGTACATGCAGCTCCCCTTTGCTACCTTCTATCACCCGGCAGGCGCCTCTGGGACTAAGTGCAGTAGCTCCTCCCTGACCCTGTCGGCACTGCTCTCGGCTTCTCTGTAAGCAGTGTGTCGCGCACTCCCGCCATGCCGCGCTGGGGGACCCTGTGACTGAGCTCTCTCAGCCTCACACCACCTGCCAAGAAAACCTGCCCTGTGCAAAGAGTAACTGCTTTTTTCCTGGCTATCCTTATAACTCTTTTCAGTTCCCTTTGTTTGCCATCCCATTTTTATGAACTTTGTTCTTCCATTTACGATGGGATAAAAATATATCATATCACTTATTATTTGTTTTACTCAATTCCATATTTAAAATGACTTGTGTCTCCTTTATGTTTGGGTCAACTTTCTCTCTTTTAGATTATGCACCCCTGCAGGTGGACAACAAGGTACCAGCAAGTGTTGAAATGCTTTGTGAATTGTTTGCACAAGGATGATGATGATCAAGGTATTGAGGTGTTCTAGGTAGGTATGCTAACCAATTTAATGCCTATATATTGCCCAAATGCCCAAACCTATGAGGTTATTAAGATGAGCCACACCGTTAGAAGTTGAGAAGATAACAGAAGAATTCTGAGGTGCCTGTTCCTGTGTAACTGGAACAAAAGTCGTTGCTGGCTAGTTTCCTGGTAAGTACATTGGTTGGTTCCTGTAGACTCAAGCCCATCTCAGAGGCTAGTGTCAGGAATTTTTGTTTCTTTCCAGTTATTAAACATGCATTTTGATTTTGATTAATAATTGATATATTCATGCAAGTAAAATAAAATTTTCTTCCTTAGTCACTGCATTCAATTCTTTAAAAAGTGTTATTTACCTCTCTTGGCTTCCTAAGCTGACATGCAAGCCTTGTGGAATTCCACGGTTTTTTATCTAATGGAGAACCTTTATCAGAGCAGAAAACTTTGCTTCAAAGATAAATTCAGGGACTCTATAGAATAGATAAACAAGATTATACTATATAGCACAGGGAAATATATACAAGATCTTACAGTAGCTCACAGAGAAAAAAATGTGACGATGAATATATATATGTTTATGTATAACTGAAAAATCGTGCTCTACACTGGAGTTTGACACAACATTGTAAAATGATTATAAATCAATAAAAAATGTTAAAAAAAAGATAAATTCAGGGACTCTAAACATAAGTGCAGTTTTTTATTTTTAAAAACAAAGAATATGCTAAGTATTCTTAGCCACAGGCTGAAAATTGCCTTATCATTGTTTAGAATATTTTGTTTCTTTTCCCTCAATATCATCAGGTAAATTATCCTCCATTCCAGATATCAGAAGTGAAGCAGTATGATGGTAGACGGAATCATTTCCTGCTAATATTTTCAAGATCATCAAAATCGACTTGGGGAGCAGGCAGGTGGAAGTGAAGGGCTTCATTCACTTGTGAGGTTGTTACCAGACCTCTGCCCTGGACTTTACCCCGCAGAATCCCTGTCGGGTCTTTTTCTGCCTACTGGATCCAAAATAAAGCTTTGTAGCCAAAACATTCAGTGACAGATGGCTCATTTCATTGCTGTAATGTTAGCCTCTGGGTCTCTGAGGGGATGATCCCAGGAACAGAAAGCAGGGCAAATAAGGAGGGGACGTACAACAGAATCTAACACAAGCGGGGTTTCTCCAGTCACTGATGGAACAGAGGACTTCCCTTCTAAATTCTGTGCATCTGACAGCAGGCAGTGGCCCCTCTCCTCTCTCCAAATTGTGATTAGTGCATAGACTGAGCCATGGGTCCAATCCCTCTTCTGACCCTGAACAGCTTGGTGATTTTGAACTCGCTCTTCAATTTCCTGATAAGTAAAATGGGAATCATAATAGCACTTACCTTCAGGATTTAACTAAGTGCCCGGCCTGTTAGTGAAGCCTGAGTTAGTTGAGCCTAAGTGCCTAATCACTCAAAACAGGTAACTGTTCATGTTCTCTTCCCACCGTTTGATGAACTTGGTTTCGTAGAAAAGAACAAAGCATAATAGAACACAAAACAAAATGCACAGCACAGGAAACCTACTACTGGAAATGATTTTTGTGAAAATTTCTAATTCAGATGGGACTTAACAAAATTAGATGAAAGGCAGCATCTTATTATGTTATTATAAAACCAGGGGATGCTCCCACTGAAACAAGCCTTAAGAGAAAATTAATTATTCTTTTCACAGCTGAGACTCTAAAGCAAAGGGAGATTGTGACTTATCCGTAGGCATATTCAAGAAGCTCCCTAGATACAATTTCTCACATTATTCATCAGAATTGTTTCTAAATTTCATTTTTTGTGTGCTTCTCTTTTTGAGAAAATGTACGCATTTTTTTTCTATCAC